AATTATAGCGTGGATAATTGCACTTTCATAGAAATTTCTATTTTTCATCTGATTCAATTATTTCTATAGGGCTTTATTTAAAAGATTGTCAGTGTTTATGAACACAACCTTTCTTTCTGGGATTTTTAATTCCTTAAGCCACGGCAACTAATTCTAAATGTGATCACCTTCACTTCCAAACTGTAGATTTGATTCTTAGACTTCAGAACTACCATGCTTTATTAAACCCTTATATGCGATAGCATTTATTAATGAGCATATATCATTAGCCATTCTATATTATTTCTTCAAAATAACAACATCCATTGGATGCTTTTCGCTTAACTTTCTAAACAGACTAATACTCATGCCTTTCTTTTCTGCCTCAACGTTTTTCACTATAGGATTTAATAAATAGTAATCCCCTATCATAATAAATTTATCAGCCATTATAATGGGTCCAATAGACAATGGCTCTGTTATTAGACTAGCTTCATCAAGGATACAATAATCAAACTTAATACATGAGAAAAATGTGTTGAATACACTCATTGTGCTTGCGCAAAATATATCATTTCCAGCAATGAATTCATATAGTAATTGTTGTGATTCAAACTATGTGCAAGGATTAATAAAGTCCTTTAATTTCGGGTTTATTTATGAGTGATTGCTACAAACTCTGACAAAAGTTGATTTTTCTATGTTAACATACTACTTCTATAATTCAAGAAGTCTAAGCAGTAAGTTATCAATAGTAAGATTGTTCATAGCCATAACTAAAATCTTAACTTTTTATCTTTTCGCTATTAAAAGCATTCTTGAAAGTACTTCATGTTTGCCTGATCCTGGAACGCCAATAATCATTTAGTAATCTATGCAATTGAAAGATTTTACAATCGCTTTTACTTACTCTGGATTTAATTTCTCCAATATATCATCATTTATTGCTTTAAATTACTCTTGCTCCTCTTCAGAGTTATATTCAGGTTTTCTCTACTTTATTATTAAATCTCTGAACTTTTGATTTTCTGGAGCGATACAAAGATTTTAAAGATTATGCCTCATAATATTAAATTAAAACGTTTGGAAGCTTTCCATCTCAATCCACCAATCTACTTCCTTGTAATCAATGCCTCCTAAAGCTTGAGGTTCAATGTAGATATTATCTTTCTATTTTTATTTTTCAGTTTTACCCTATTCTCCCATTATATCATCATCATCTTCTTCATCTTAATCCTAACCTTCTGGTGTGCTTCCGGTCTTTTTCTTGTTTATGAGATGCTTTTTTAAGACCAAACCCTTGGTAAATGAGATACTTTTAACTGTATGAAGATTCACAAAAGAGTTTTCAACTATCTCTGTGTTTAACCTAGCTCCATTGAAATAAGGTCTTTCCAAATTGACTATAAACTCACCATTATTTTCATCTTTTGTTTCAACATTCGTGATCTTGAGTCCCTCATCCTTTACTTATTTTCTATCATTTAAATTCATGCTTGAGTGAACATTAACAGCACTTTGCTCAAGCGCAATAATATCATACCACTTTTTGAAATAGGTCAAACTATATTAGTCTGCAACCTTCTCAACATCTAAGTAAGCCTGAAATGTTGGCAACTTTTCAGGTTAATCTTCCATAGCTTTTGAGTAAAAACTGCATACTTTATTGACATAGCAATTTCTACATACATCCTAGTCAACTAAGATCGACGGTAAAGCATAAGCTTTGCCCTCGCTGCTAATCTTTTATAATTTAGCTAGTTCATTTCTTCTTTGGACAAGTATGCAGATTTCATTTCTTACTGTTTTCATATAATAAGTTTTTGCTTTAGACATCAAGTACAAAAGTAAATTTGAATCATTGTGATTTATAAATCTTTCAGTCAACAACAAGCTGTATAGTAATACCTGATAATGATTAATAAACTAATGAATTTATTTACCTATCCTTT